GTCGCGATGGCAAGTGGCTCAACGTTCACTTCCACTGCTCTGGAGCTCCTGCTGCACCACTCCAGTGATCAGGTACTCCTCCTCCTCACACGCATTGTAAAGCCCCTGTGTGTAGGAACACCGGGTGATATCGGAGAAGACACAAATCTGACCCGCTTGTCTAGATTTGTTTAGATTGTCCTGTTTCTTAACTGACCCATAATTGACTTTCAGGCCTGTCCCCCCCCCGTCCCCCCTCTCTGTCCCCTCCAGTGGTCCTGAGCCTCCAGTCTACTGGAGTGTGTGTTTTGGGGGGCAGTTTTTTTCAGCGAGCGTGTTTAAGAGGCACGTCCTCTGCGTGGAGTGGCTAGTGCCAGGAGCCCGGCCGGGCAAGATCGCATCCCTCTCCACGATACCAACCAATCCTGTCCCCCCTTTGACCTGCTGGGGGCCGGCTGAACACAAGACACCGCCCCCATGGGATGATGCATGCATCTGGCGCCTGATTGGAGGGCGAGTCTTCGCCCTCTATCCCTCCCCATGGCAGCCATCTTTTTTCTGCCCGCGCGACATGAGACGTCCTGCGTGAGGAGAGGATTTACAGTTGAACTTGTGACAGTTTATGAGTATGAGTTATGAATATGCTGTGTAAATTATGACTAGATGTACCAGAAACCACCAAAACCCAACCAAGCATTTATATTCACTATCTAATAAAGGGAGGAACAGAAAGGGAGTGTGAGGTTAGCAGCTGAGATTTTGGACACATTTTTTGGCATTCTAGGGATTACCGGGTAGAAAGTGTTGTGCTCGTTACCCGGACGTTGATGTAAAGATGTAGGGAGGTTTCCCCCCATCTGACTTCTAGAGGGGTGAAAAAAAATAATCAAGTCTGCTCAGTCAGAGAACTTGATGACGAGAGAAACGTGATATCAAAAACATGAAGCACCAAAGTGTAGAACTTTAGGCTTTTTATGTGTTTTCGTTTGTGTGCTTGTTTTCCGACCGAGCGGAAAGTCGTGCTGTTGGGGGCGGGGTTGTTTTTATTTGAGGTTACGTGTTTCTGTTGTGTTTTAACGTCCTGTTCCGTTTGCGTTCCTGTGAATGACCGGATCGTTTCTTTTGCTTGTTTCTTTGTTTCTGTTCGTTGGTCTGACTGATCCTTTTATTCAAGGCTCCTTTTTAAAGCAGCTGAGTTTAAAAAAAAAAAAAACTAAAAAAAGAGGGATTTAATCGTGCAAGTTTAAAGCTAACGTGTGAACACGTTGTGTTGTCTGTATGCAGTGGAGGGAGCGAGTGGGGCGGGGAAGGCGTTTGCGTTTTGCATGTTTGCCCGCCCCCCCCTCCCTCCCTCTCTCCTTTTTTCTCCCTCTTAAACCATTCCCTCTTTTAACCCTCTCACTCAGTTTCTCTGCTTTCTGCAAGGGCCTGGTTTGTTTATAATCACTGTGTAAATACAGTGTATGTATAGTTCTATGTAGAAAAGTGTAATATATGTACATGTATCTAAGAGACACTCATCCTGTGCATCTGGGACACCGCCCCATGATCTCTGTGAACCCGATCTAGTTTACAAACTTTTTCCTCAACAATTTTTTGTTTTTTTCATTTTTGCTTTAATTCTACTCCTTAAAGTACTTCCTTAAGATATTTGTAGCTCTCCATCATTGACGAATACACACACTCGAGTGGGGTACCGGATTTAATCCCGTGGCCGTGACTGTTTTTAGAGACGGGGAATAAAATGTTTAACGGGCTGAAAATAGTTTTACCCCTTTGCTTAAAAAAAACAACAACTTTTTAAACAAAGACGTTCATCATAGTGTTCTTAACTCCTGATCCCACAATGCTGTGAGCCGTCTCTTTATATCATATGCACGCACACACACACACACGCCTGGTGGTGTGTTTAGGCTTTGTAACATATCTGCACCACTGCTGTGTGACCAAGGGGCCAACTCTTGCTGTGCTGCTTAATTGTCTCCATCCATTCGCGACAGCCGTATCTTAAAAAACCCCCTCCGATATCCCCCCCCCTCGTGTACCAACGAGTCCCGGCTCTTGAGATGTTTATTTGTACCTCTCTCTGTTGTTTCTCTGTTCCCGTTACTGGTTTGAGTTTTTTCGTTGTCGTCGCTGTTGCTGTTAACTTGTCGTTTGGTAATTTGCCGAATCTGCCAAGCTGGAGTTCTGCACTCTCCCTCGTACACAGGAAAAAAAAAATCAAATAAAAGGGAAGACAGGGAGGAAGTAAAGACAACACAAATTACAGATCGAGTGATCTTACATTGATCCGGACTAAATTATTTATGAACGTAATCTAGCCACGGTGGTTATAAAATCGTGCCTGCTCAGTGGAGAGGAGTTGTGAAAGCCGGAGGAAGAGTTGGTGTGGGTGTGCAGGTCTTTGTGACCAGAGCGGGAGACCTAGTTATATGCATGTTTCAGTTACACATTTCTACCATGCACCTACCTGAGTAAGGATGGAGCCTAGTGTTAATATATGATATTTGCATCTTTTGAAATAAGAATATTCTCCATCCAGAATGTTGAATAGGTGACGTGAAAAATATTTAAAAAAAATACGCAAAATTTTTAAAAAAGTGATTCAGGAGCCGTAGCTTGGTATGAGGCCCTCGATGTTAGCGTTTTCCCTGCGTTGTAATGATATATTATTGGGCTGCGCTTTCTCCCCCCCCCCCCTCCCCCTCCCCCAGCCTTCACATGGATGCTGGAGTTTTTTTGCATGATCATGATGTACAATGAAATACAACCATGAATTGACGACTATCAAGTGTTTGTCTGAGTGTTAGTTGGTCTTCATCATAGCTTTGTTATTCTTCGAAAATTGGATCTTAAAAGTATTTAATAAAAATACTATTTCAGCACTGGTTTATCTCTCTCGACTGGTTTATTTTCTCTCATCATTCTTGTCACTTTCATCCGGTCCCTGGTGATGTGCTCCATCCACTCCCTGACCACACGGTTCTGTGTTTACCCTGCGTGCTTTCTTACGTGGATCCTGAACTCGCTCTCACACTTCGTCTTGTGCAACATACCTTTTACCGTCTGGGCGGAAAAAAATGTATCCCCAAAATGACGGCATAACGGCCCTTTTTTGGCCTCTGCATTTTTGATCCGTTCAGCTCGGATTTCAGGATTTTCATCAGCAGCGTCTCAAACCTGAAATCACCAAATTTGGAGCTAATAGAGATGTGCAACACACGTTTCTGGTTATGCAACGCTGCGACATTGATTGGTCATGCTGAATATCTTGCCCAATTTTAGGAAACTAGTTCGTCTCAGGTAACGTTTAGCATTAAGACGCCGGCTGTTGAAGGAAAAAAGGTTTTTGATTTGAGTAAAATAAACACTCATAGAACCGGATCATGTTTCTTTGTTTGGCTGGATGCTCTGAACACCACCCGACATCACAGCTGGCATGATATTTGCCCTCCATACGTGTCTGTCATCACACAAAGTCAGAGTAAGCCTGAAAAAAGCTGCATATCCTCCAGGGCCATTAACACACACGCACGCGCGCACACACGCGCGATAAAACAATCGCTGCTGTCCATTCAACAGCATTGCTCCGTCTCACCACTTCAGCCTTTGTTCTGTCTCCTGCTGCTCTTATTTTAGCTGGAGTGAGCGCTCTGTGAAGTGTTGAGTAATGCTGCAGCCTTATTTAAAAAAGGATTGGTGGTGTTATTTATGATGGTCCCAGTTATTTTAGTGTGTGTGTGTGTGTCCGTGTGATGTAGGACAGCTCCCCTCTGGTTCCTCTGCGTTCTGTGTGATTAATGAGATGCTCAGCAGTTGGTTAACTTAAGACACTTGCACATATTTCCTGAAAGACACAAAAAGGGAGAAACTTGTGAGGGGACGCGTCTTGTTGGCGCTCTCTGACCTCCGACCCCTCGTGTCAATAAAATTAGAAGAGAAGCTGCCTACGGGTCTCCTGAATCTAAATTACTTTTGACTTTGTCAAGGTTGTAAAGGATTGGTTCACCCCCCCCCCCCAAATCTCAGAGCTTAAACAGATGAACATGTGTTTTTATAAAACCACAGTAAATACAATTTGTAACCTTTCTGTTGCAGGTACAGCGAAGGGAAGCGCTTGTTAAAGTGTTCTAACGGTTTTAGAAAGAGGTTTAATATTCAACCCATCTTTTGAAAACTAGGCCAACAGTAAAGTCAGGTTTTTATTTAATATTCCCACTGAGGAGGTTTCTCCTCGTTTTTGAAGGCCTAAACTATTTTTCCCATCGGGCCGTCAAGTCGGAAGCTTCAGCTGAGTTTTATTTCTCAAAATCAATGCTATTGGTTCAGTTTGTTAATCACAAATGTAACTGATCACAAATGTATAAACAATAAAAATCATGGTCCTAATATAGTATGTAATTTAATGCTTTATGAAAAAGTCATTTTATGTTATGAAAATGTCGTAGCATGTCGGAATAATTACCTAAAAAAGTCATAGTATAGCATGTCGAAAATAAGTTTGCGTCCCTTGTACGTTTATGTAAATGTACTTTATTAGTAGTACTTATATTGTATTATTTAAATAACTGCAGCCTGTCTTACAGATACCTTCAACATATTTAGATTTCTAAACATTTAGCCATGTCCCAAAAGCAGAGTCATTACTGCGCATTACAAATCACTTATTGTACAGTTTTCTATAAAAATGAGCCAGTCCGCTGCAGCAGGGGTTCCCTCTGATCCCCCTGTTTTCAGAAGGGAACCACACACAAGAAAAGATTAACACGGCTCATGAGTGACTGAGAGCAGCAGCTCAGCAGATTTACATAAAGGCAATAAATCTTTGTGTAAGCAATCTTTTTAGTTACACAATCCATGTATTTTGAGTGTGGGATGGTGGCGCACAGCTAACCCTTTGCGTATTACATAATCATCCTAATATGGTGGGTTTACCATCATCAAACCAAGACTACAGAGTTAATTCAAGGTTATTATTCAATGAGAAAGAGAAGATGGACCACACCGACACTGAGGGCTTGTTCTCACCAGGTATATCGTTTAATACTCATGATTCAGCACATTACACGAAGGGACTAGTTCAACACATGGTAAAGTAGGCCGTACACACTTTACACTGCTCCCTCATCGTCCAGCCACAAACGTACAGTATTTACATTAACCTACAGGATCTGCATGATACAACACCGATTCTCAGGAAGGAAGGAGTCGTGAAAGGATTTGAGTTAATGTACAGGATTACAGGACAGGTCCTTATTGGAGAAACAGCAGTCGCAGGTTACAGAGATGCGTCACGACACAATGGTTCACAGCACATAAAAGCACAAGTCAAGTCCGTACACACATATAGCAACAGTATAAAAAGAACCATCAGGGCCGTGTTATCCAACGAGCCCTGTGAAAATAGAACAATGTCGCCATCTTCTGGTTAGATCGCACATCTGCTTAGAATACAACAGAACAGACAACATTTAACTTCAGGAGTTTGGGCTATCTAAGTCAGTCAAGAATGAATGCAGCAACACACACTATCTAATGTCAGGAACAGTAGTCTATTCATCTGTCCGTCTATCTAGAGCCAGCTGCTGGAATCAGTACAAAAAGATATGTTACCACCCGACGGTCGGCTTCCAATGGCTTTGAAAAGGAGTTATTCTGTACAGTTTAGAAGGACCATACCGATGTTTTAGGCCCTTTACAAATGATATACACTTAACATAACTGCTGATGAAATCATATTTTCCTGTTTCAGTATTTTTCCAGGCAAACTCTGGAATAGAAATCAATTATCAGACTCTTGAGTTGTGTAATTCATCACGTCAGCAGGATGTTTTTCTCCATCATTGTTGTGAGGTAACGCAGGTTAATTGATCTGAGAAAGAAGGCTCTCAACAATAACGTGACTTTGACAGAAAATAAATGCTGATTTAACATTTATTGTGATAGATTCAAGTTTCAGGAGTCGTGTGAAATCAATGGAAACCAACAGTTTCCTGGAAAGTCAGGGAATAGTTTTGAGAATAATAAAATTTAAAGGGGGTTTAATAACGTTATGCTCTCTTGTGTGGATTTAATTGTGACTTTAATGTAAGTGTTGAACGCTGCCACTTTCTAATAAGACCTTTATAAAGGGATTATGTAAATTGTAAGTAATGACTTTATTCATGGTTAATAAATTATTGCTTTTGGTTTGCTGGTTTTATCTGGTTGGCGAGTCATTATTCAGAGTGTTACTTCTTAATATCAATCCTGCCATTATTAATGTTAGTAAGTCATTAACAAAGATCTGTTTTGAATAAGTTAGTGAATGTTAATGAAAAGCCTGGCAACTCAAAAGCTGCTCTTATTAAACACTTATAACTGATCTATAAGTTAATGGTAAACAATTTATTAACCATTAATAAACATGTTAAAGCTTTTTGTAAAGAAAACAATGCACATTATACTATAGATTGAAAGCCCGGTTGTGTTTAAGGGTTGTAGGTTCTGCACTTTAACAAATTGAATTAACTTTTTGATGAAAAACAGTCAGCAGTAGCGTATACATCATGAGTAATGGGAATAAATACACTAAAACATGAAGAATAACCGGTATGGTCCTGAGTAAAATAGCTTAATCAAAGGTCTAAACAGCACTTTCACCAGTAAACGTATAAGACAACAGCCTGAAGAGACGAGCCCTGTTGGAACATCTGAATGGTGACGTCTGATGAAGGAGTTTGGGGTTTAATCTAAGTTAATAATATTGGAGGGACAATGATGATATTCAGCCAGCCTGTATTCTAGATGTTCTGGCGGTTAGTTTGATGATTTGTATTATTAGACACACAGAAGACACACATTAATGGGTGAATTTTTAGCATAGATTCTTGTGTGAACATCTTAGAAATATCCCCGGAATATTTTTTTTAACACGATTCTCCTTAATATACATGCCATGCTGATTTTTTTTTTTTTTTGATATTCAGATATTGGGTGAAAGGCCCCCGATCAGCATGCCAGGCTCAACCTAAACGTTGCCGACCCCATCAGTCACCGCTCGTCTTCTCAACAGGCTGTAACTCACATGTAAAGCACCACAACTCACCCACACACTCTGCCACCCTGGCAGCTTCGGGAAGGTCTGCCCACGCCGCTGTACTCGTCCGACGATTAGCAACCGCAAACACAACACTGAGTTCAGATTTTGAAATGAGCAGAGACGGCCGTTTGTGCTGACCTAAGTTAGAAGCATCTTTCTTTTCTTTTAAAGTTGACTTTTGTCTTCCTTTAAACCCTCTTTTCCTCCTCCTCAGGGGGTCACATGGCACAGATGGTAAGCCAATGGCACGGCCTCAATCAGACCAGAACTTGTGTGTTTGTGTCGGCATCCCCTACGTGATGGGCATGTGTGTTAACGTGCGGGTTGGTGTGTGAATGATGACTGTGTTTCTGTTTAAGATCATTGATTTTGTTTGTTTCCTGCTGATTGTGTGCGTGTTTGAGCTTGCCGTGCACGTGGAAGTATTCATCCTTGCCCTCGCCGTGTGTGTGTTCCTTGTGTGTGTGTGTTAGGTCATTGTCAACACGTGTCAGATCTTCTTGCGTGTCCGTGTGTGCGGTCGGTTCCTCCGGATGTGCTCGTGCGTTGGTGACTTCCTCGATCCAGCTCCTGAAGCGGCTGACTCGAGTGTAGAGCGCGGGAGACGAGGGGCCGTCGCAGCCGTAGCCTCCGGCGACGACCCCGGTGAGGACCCACCGACCCGACTCCCGCTGACACACCAGCCCGCCTCCAGAGTTGCCCTGACAGCTGTCGTCATGGAGGAGGCTGGTGTCTGGCGGGCTGCCAGCGCACAGGGTGCCGTGGCTGGAGAAGCTGTCGCCGTAGCGCTTCTTACATTGCCATGAGGACATCAGAGGGACCCAGGATGCAAGAACTGAGTCTGCGAGAGAGGATGGACGAGATGGTGAAAGGAGCGACATGTCAGAAATGCTGACAATCGACAACAATGGATTGACTAAATCGTATTTGGCTACTGATTTCATGGCATTGTATCAAGCAACAAGACTAAAAGTCTTCAGCCTTCAGCTCTGAGAGGCTGTACTTAGTGAGGCTTTGAGCGAAATGCTAACGTCAGCATGCTTACAATCAGTAGGCGATTAGAGGGAGGATACCATCCCTTATGTTAGCTAAATGATCAAAATGCATGCTCTTTGTTAACCTGCCTTTCTCCCTCTCCATCCTCGAGTAGCAGAGAGAGTGCAGGAGCACAGGGGTTGTTAGTCTAGTCTGCCTGACTCATATCTGACTGAGGTTTGTGCAAGTTAGAATCTCTGGCTCTGAAATATCAGCAGCCTCACTGTGCTGTGTGCTGAATAATCCATGGAGCTGTCCATGGTGCTAAGGTAGCAGACAGATTTGTGATTGCAACGTGTGCTCTACAATCTGTGTATTGTTTGATGTTTAAAGAGACATGATTGAAGTAAACTGGAGTGGAAAACACATACCTGGTCCTGTCCAGCCAGCAGTGACCATGACAATGCAAGAAGATGGAGTCGTCCCTCCCGATGCTGCGTCCACACCGGGAAGGCACGCTGCGTTGGTGTCGGGGTCAAAAGTCAGACAGTGACCCTTGGTGCTGGGCAGCTTCAGCAGAGCCAGGTCGTGACCGCCGCTCTGACCCTTGAACTTCCTGTGAACCACCACCTGCTCCGGGGTGAGAGTCTGCGCCGAAGCCCCGACACGCACCACGTACCTGGACGGGTCGCTGCCAAACCTGCGGGAAGGAAGGCGAGAAGAAACTTCAGGTGGATTCACACTTCACGGTGTTCGGTGGAATGGATTCATAGTTCAGAGTGAGATTTACCTGCTGACACAGTAGGCGGACGTCAGGGCCCAGCAGGGGCTGATCAGAGTGCCGCTACAGAGAGGACCGCCATGCTCTTCTTGAGACTGAAGCCACACTGACACCTGCCACGGCCACGTGGTGCTGACGGAGAACAGGAAGAGATCTCAATCAAAACTCCTTTCTTTTCTTTGAGTTTCTGAAGGCAGGGTGCTCTTTGTGTCAACTCATCAGCCACATAAACGATTGTGTAGCTGCTTATGCTGACTATACATTCTTCTATACACACTTTCAACTCCGTGCACAAGAGGATTTTAACTCGACTCCAAGTATTTGGAAAGACAACAGCTTTCAAAATCTGCATATTCAAAGCTGATAACCACCGGAGCATCAGAACCACAGGTTTACTGTGTTACTTTGTCAATTCAACTAAAGGTGCTGCGTAGAGTGTTTAACTCTTAGTCGCCTTATGTAGAAATGTTTTGATGGGTGACATTAAAAATGATTTAATGAATTCAACATGTCTTTTTAGTTTTGCCTTTAATAGTAAATGTGTTTTTTGCATCACTGAAGGACAATAACAAGGTGAGTCTTGCATTATTACCTAAATCTAATTTTAAGACCTCTCACATTGTGAGGTGAAGCTGTGCTCACATGGTGCATATTCATATATAAAGTTGTTTTTAAATCGAGTTATTACAAAAATAACTGACAAACAGAGAATCTGTGGCGAGGCATAAGAGCTTGTTTTTGGGTCTCTGTGTGTATAATGAAGCTGCCATGTGTTGTCTGCTTAATGGGACCTAGGAGGCAGCAGCCGACATGAATACTAGCAGGTCAGTCGAGGCTCATTGTAGTAATTTATTGCAGCTATTTTATCATCGTATTTATATTACAGTATTCACACTTTTAGAAATATCACTGCTACGGCTTCATTGTGAGTCGCTAAATCACCAGGACAAAGCCACAGATGTAATTAGGGCGGCAAAGTTTAATCGATCAGTTGTCAACTATTAAATGAATCCGTTGGGAGTAATTTAGAAATTCACTGATTCCTGTTTCCTAAATGTGAGTTTTTTTTACTCCTGTATGAGAATGAACTGAATATCTTTGAGGTGTTAACAAAACATTTGAGGACGTCATCTCGGGCCAAGGGAAACCCTGATCGATTAATTGAGAGAATAATCGTCAGATTAATCCCCAATGAAGATAATGGTTCGGTAATACCAAATTAGGTCCTAAATCCTACCTGAGCATGTTTTCCTCGCCCTGGTTTCTCCTCTTGCCCTCCTCCTCCCCCAGCTTCCTCAGCCCACAGCTCAGCTCTTGGGGCTTGGCCTGGACCGTTGACTCCCACGGCGTGACGTCACACCTGACTCCTGCGTCCACCCTGCGTCTGCAGCCCCGGACGCTCTGACCGAGACACGGACACTCTCCCAGGAACTCCTCCTTCCCTGTGCACCTCACCTGGTCCAGGTGGATGGGCCCTTTCCCCTGACCGAACCCTCCGGCTGCCACCGCTCCACCGCTGAGGAGGGAGAAAAATGTTTTTTTGGTGTAATTAAAAAACCTCTAAGTATTTAAAAGTAACTCTGTCCCTTTCATACGTATAAATATTAACCTGTGTCCAAGCTGTCTGCACACCACGGCTGCGTTCAGGTCGTTCCAGCCCGAGTCACAAATACTTCCCCAGTCACCATGGAGATACACCTCGACCCGACCCTCCTTTCTGCTGCTGCCACCCACAAGACGCACCAGGGGACCTGACGGGAGAGAGACACACACACATCCCTCATTCATATGCACGTCTGTGCACCTACATACTCCAGTCTACACGCACAGATAGAGAGAGATACGTCCACTGACGGTGTTAAATGTCATCCGCAGCCATGGTGCCTCTTTATTCGGCTTCTATTCTCATTCTAATGGACTGTGTGTCTACAGGAGGCCCAGTAAACACCCCTTTATTCTCTCTGCTGTCAACATGTGGCATTTAAACTCTTTGAACAGAGAAAAACGCTGATGTTTTCACACTGAGGTAATGATACAGCGCCACAAAAGGAGACGGAACCGGCTTCATTTTTTTCATAGATTAGATGGAAACATCTTTTGCATGCTTATGATCAATTTGAATAGAACTTTGTCTGAAGTTGAATTGTGAGGCAATTTCTGCCAGGGTTTAATAAAGTAAAGTAAACGGCTGGCATGAGACCAGCACTCTACAGGGACAGCTTGCCCTTTTCATACAATATGAATTGCCACCACACTTCTGCAGTGCAGTGCAATCATCCTGTTTTTGCTGGTTTCTCCCATCCCTCCTTTTTGTCTTATTATCTTTTGCAAATGAAAAGAAAACTCAAACAAATGTAATACAGCAGTCTGGGCAGAGGTAGAATAGATGTTGTTGGCACAGACAAAACAAACTAAATAAAATTACAATACAGAAGAATGAAAAGGGTGAATTAGCCCAGTTCACACCCATTTTCAAATTAGGTATGCATGCCGGCCTTAATCCTGGTCTCATGTCTTACCCGTGGAAGGTGCGATAACCGGCACTTCATTGGTTTCTTGGCTGGATTGTCTCCTGCAGCGAACACCAACATCCTCACTGTGTGAGCAGTCGGTGCGGCCCCAGATCCCGTGCGGACAGTCCAGCAGGGAGGTCTCCGATCCCTCACAGTGGACGTCGTCCAGGAGGATCAGACCGATGCCCTCGCCGAACATCCCATCTGATACAACCTCAGCGTGACCCCTGAAGGTGGAGAAGAGGTGAAGGTTTGTAATGTGGACACCAAGTCAAAAGAATATGCCAGTTTTAATAACACATGAAAATTGATGCAAAGTAGCATCTCTGTTGGCTTTCATCATTTAATGATCGTCATCATCAGTTACCTGACTTCTTCTCAGGTTTTAAATTGATGATCAACAAATGTAAAATACAACAAATGCAACTAATCGCACGAATTGTCTTTGCAAAACGTCTAACGTCTTCAGACCACTTTCCAACATGAGGAAAAAGATGAATTTGTGTTCAGTCGTTTGTACATCTCCTCAAGTGTTTCCATACCTGTAGCCCAGCTGTCTGCAGACCACCTCTGCATGCTGCAGGGTCCAGCGGTCGTCACACACCGTCCCCCAGTCACCGTTGTGGAGAACTTCCACCCGACCCTCCCAGGGACTGTCTCCTCCAACCAGACGCACCACACCATCTGAAACAGGTTCATATTGTGGATTTTATAAAGATGTAAGTATTGAAGTTTGACTTCACAGAAAATCCTTTAAGCAAACCTGAAGCAACATTTTTATAGACGCAAACACTAATGTATCATCTTGCATTCATTACTAATCGTATATTACTTTGATGAATAGTAGCTGTTATTTCATGCCGGTAGATATGTTACTCCTCAGTTCCCATAAATCCTGCTTGTCACTAAGAGGATGTTGCTGCTTCATGCAGTAATGATTTATTGATGTCCAGCGGCTATAAATAGCAGCTTGAAGCCCATCAGTGTGTGGACAGTAAACTGTGTGTGTGTGTGTGTGTGCTGTACATGTACCTGTATAAGGGCTGCAGGAGACCCCAGCATCCTCCATGTGGTCACAGTTGTGCTGCTCCCAGTCTCCATGGGGACACTGCTCCAGAAAGAGCTCGTTTCCCGTGCACTTCACAGCATCCAACAGGATCGGGCCTGACCCCTGACCAAAGTGAGCCCACGACCAGGCCTTCGCCACACCCCTGCAACATAGATATGCACCGGTTTTTTTCTTCAAATTTTGGCCTGATGATGGCTTAATTTGTTGCATGCCATCCTGAGGGGAACATGAACATCTGGATGACATTTCATGGTAATCCCTCTGACAGTTTTTGAGATATTTCACTTCAAACATAAATGTCAACCTCATGGTGGTGCCAGAGGGAAAGTCAGAGGATCACCAGAGTTAAGAATACACTGTTCCGGAATCGTGAATGTCTGTCGACCATTCCATGGCAATGAAAGAAGTGGAGATATTTCAGTCTGGACCAAAATGACACTGCCGCCCATCGAGCCACAACATCAGCATGGCTACAATCTATAAACCGTCTCAGGTGCATATTGGTTCTATACTCTAGATTCTATACTACGGACTGTTGCCCAGTTCTTACAAAAGAAAAACACTCTAAAATATCCAAAATAAATCAAATCATCCAAATAAATAATGAACGAACATCCCACAAGGATGTGTAAGTGGTGATTATTTATTGATGCTGAAGTGCTACAAAAGGCAGTTCTGTGTGTTTGCGTGCTTTCCTGCTCCTGAATCAAACTTTACTGACCAAAAAAAAAAATCTATCAATTGTTTTTGTTTTTATAATTCAAATCCACCTCTATTCTCTTCCTGTGATGTGGTAAAAATATTTAACTGAGGGGCATAACTATCCAGTAAAATGAGATGTGGGGTAACTAACTAACACCAACCATCATATAAACCACATTTCACTGTTAACTCGTGTAGAACAATATCATAGTAGGACTAGGATGTCAGTTGGCAAAAATATAAGAACATTTAAAGTGTGTAAATGTTTGACACACGTACCTATTGAAGGAAAATAAAACTATCCAGGTGGGAAAAAACAAATCACTTCATTTTCTCTTAAAGTGTGAAAGCGCATCAGTGCCCGTGTGCAGCTGTGTGAGAACCTGTGTATAAGCATCAAAACATCCATTATTCAGAGGCACAAACACAGATGGTGAGACGTCCCACTGCGTTAGAGGAGATGAAATGCAACCTAATGTTGAACACGGAAGGAGTTATTTCTCTTCACAGCTACAACGGCATCGTTTGTTTGACACTCAAAGTTGTCTGGGATGTTACATCTCCTCTGCAGGGGAAACATGCTGTGTGTGTGTGTGTGTGTGTGTGTGTGTGTGTGTGTGTGTGTGTGTG